GCAGGGCAAGGAGTAGACAGCCAAATCAGTGCTCAGAGCGCTTTCCAAGGAGTGAGGCTCTTTCTCTGCCCTGGGATCCCACTCTGCCATGGGAATCTTGCTTTTATGTGGAGTTGACAATGGCCTGCTGCACTCGCTGGAGCTTAGTGAGGCATCCCTTGCCTTTTCCAGCCGAAGGTAAGGAGAGGACAACTCAACCAGCACTGTAGAAAAGTGATAAAGCAAGCCTTAGGGTGACTTCCTCAAGCTGGCAAAATTGGGAGCAAATTTCCCATTGACTAATGGGACCAGACTCTTGCTGTGACACACAGGATTGAGGTGGCTTTGAGTCACTGCTCGGCCAGCCCTGCAAAACGTTTGCAAACATTAACTGGGCAGGGAAAGTGCCAATGCCATCTCCAAGCCCATTTCTGGCACTGTGTGCCAGAGGGAGAGAGCAGCTGGCTGCTTCCAAACACCTGAAACCTGGTGCTCACCTATCTCCCTGTCTTGGTACACCAGCACAGGGACCCTTTCGTAGGGGTCAGTGCTTGGTGTTTGCTGGAGAAAGGGCAAAGCTTTGGTGCCAGGCTGCTGTGAGATCTCTGCGGTAGACTTAAGGGCAGAATGATTTCTGCAGCTCGGCTGTGGCTGGCTCGGCTCAGCATGCGGCCACTGACCCCTGGACCATGCAGCGCAGCAGCCTGTGGGGCTGTCTGCCCATGAAGGTCATGCTCATGAGGGGCTGGGAGTTCCATGACCCACCTGGCCCCGCTTGCTCCCGCAGCTGCAGGAAACCCCCTCTATGCTCGGCCCGTTTCCTTTAGCTGAGTTGCTCAGTGACTTTATTATTTCCCCTCTCCACTCTCTCGGTGTGGTTTATGTGGCTCCTGCGCCAGCGGCCAGCTTGGCTCTGTCAGTTTTTTTCCCTCCTCTGCTGGTCAGATGGCAGATGCTGCCAAATTAGGATGCAGGCAGCAAGCCTTCTGTCCGAGCTGTGTCCCTGCCCCGGGCTGACACTCATGGGGAAGGGCAGTGCCGGAGAGGTGGCTGCCCACATGCCCTGGCCTGGGGCACAAGGGCTGCTTGGGTGGAAGCTGCTGGTGTGCAGGGGAGTTCCTGCACACCCTGGGCAGGGTTGGGCATCAAAGTTCCCCTCCTGCCTCAAGAGCAGGGATGCCTACATGGTCAGTTCCGGCTATGGGAACCCTGTGCTGCCCCACTGGCCAGCACACCCTACTGCCCAGATCCCCATCTCCCTGCCCTGACTCACCGCTGCGGTCACTCATCTGCACTGGCTCTGAGCACACAGGGCACCCCTTCCTGCTCTTTCTACAGAAACACCCAGCCAGTTGCCTGCCCTGGAAGCGGGACCCTTGGCTGGCTGGACCCACGCAGGGTCTCCACGCCAGGACTTGGCAGCCCGGCCTGCTGTCAGTGCCGAGCACACGTTTGGCTCTGCTCCGCCGCCAGCGCGGCGTGCCTGGGCCCTCACACGGCACCACTGTGCCCTTATTAGGGCAGCCAGCGTGCGGGGCCTGTCCCTTGGAGAGGTGTGGGCAGCCCTGCTCTGCAACCCGCTCCCCCATGGCCAGACACCAGCTGCCTTCCCTGGGAGCTGCCCTGGCACATGGGTCTTGATTGTGCACAGCAGTGTCTCAGGGAGGTCTTGTGGCCATGCAGGGCTACTCGCCAAGCCTTGCCAGTGGTCAGTAGATGATGCTGTGGGGATGGGAAGAGGAGGGGAGCGGGAAGATGGCAGTTTGCTGCATCTCTTGGGAAGGCAGTGCCTTGGGGACTGGGAAGTGGCTGCCTACAGGTGCCCAGTCCCATCCTGCACCCAGCTCTCCTGGTGTAGAGGAGGTCCTCCTCCATTGCAGGTCCTCCTTCATTACCTGCTGGGCAGAGGACTCCTTCCTTTTCTCTGGTTTTGCCGAGTGCTCCTTTGTGTTTTTAAGAAACAGTAAATAACCCTTGTTCAGTAACCACCTCTGCACTCCTCCTGTTTTCAAACTGGTGTCAGTTTGTCCTTTCTACTGTGGATGCTGCCTCCCATCCAGGAGGGAGCTGGGAAGCTCCCATCCAGGCTGAGGACCTGGCACCACAGAGGGTTTTCCTCACTTGTCCCTGATGCTGTGTCCCCTGACAGTGCTACCATCACCCAATGGGACTGCTTTTGTGCTTGCCTCCTACTAGGACTGTTCATGTGTAACAGGCTGGCTGGCCAGACAGGGATCCTGGCAAAGAGCAAGGCAGGTTGGAGGGCCCAGGTGTCCCCAGATCTGCTTGTTTATCTGTGGCACAGTGGTACTTGTGGCCTGTGCTCTTGGCCAATTGGTGGGTACTGGGTCAGGAGCTAGTGGCGGGTCTTGCTGGGTTGGGACACAGGAGGAACGTGTTTACCTCCAGCCAGGCTTCATATGAAACCCTGCAACACGTGAATATTTCCTTCCTCCTCCACGCTTCCTCCCTGGCTGGGTCAGCCTGTGGTTTTTCTGGGATGGAAGGAAAGAAGCTGACACTGCCTCTCACTTCTGGAGCTGAGCTGTTGTGCCTGGCACAGCCAAGCTGTCCCGGGATCTCCTGTGCCCCAGGTGCTGAGAGCAAGCAGCTCCCAGCCCACTGCCAACTCTGGGGGCTGGAAAGCTGTGGCTCCATCCCTGTGTCTCGGGGCTGGGTGGGCTGAGGGATGTTTACATGGATGGATGGACAGACAGCCCTTAGGGAGCTGTGTGAGGTCTGAGATGAGGCCATGCCTGCAACTG